CATGAAAAGACAAGAATTCGCCTTAATTTTTCGTTTTTACATTCAGGGGTAGAAAATGGATAAACAGTTTAAATATTCTTAAATTGAATTTAGATGTATTTACACAATTAATGCTTCTCAGATGGCATTGCATTATCACAGCAATTGCATTATGGAATGAGATTAATGTTTAAAACAAAAACATTCTGAATAGCCTACAAAATATTAAATGAGTGACAAAATGAAACATTTGGATACTTGAATTATGAAGGTTACATCGCCAGTAGGTGGCGGCAAGTCATTGTGTTGATGAATGAGTCATAGAGTCATCAATTCAACCGATTCGTACAAAATGCTGATTTGTTCAGGAGCAAAGCAAATGGGTCACTGAACCACTCACACAAACGATTCATTCAAAGACTCTGACTTATTCAAGAATGAAACGTCTGTATTTTAAGTCAAATAAAACACATTGTTTTGTGTCTAAAATTAAATCAATTCATACTCATTATTAATGAAACTGTACGGTCTAAAATAAAAGTTATGACTGCTGCGTATGCACACAAAATCAATACTGGTCTGCGCTTCACTATAATGTGAATGCATTCGCCCTGTGTTGTCCAGTGCGTCATGCATCTTTGCCACACAGATTTTGATAAATGGACAGCTAAATAAAATGTGCGGTGTGCCAAAGAAATAGACTAAAATGGTAATGTGGCTGCAGATCCGAGGTACATACATATTTCTGCGATAAGCACCTAATACTTGCCATAGAGAAACTATGCCTACACAGAAGTAAACCCTGTTTTCAGAGAGACGAAATGCAGGAGTTACAATAGACACCTTAACAGCAGAGGACTCTTATTCTGTTGCACAGAACCGAAGACGACATGATGACGGCACCGTTTAATTTTTGCTTGACCAATCAATGGAAAGGGGCGTTTAATTCCCACCCACACGTGGAAATTGAACATTCAAACTGTTTATCCATTTTCTACCCCTGAATGTAAAAACAAAAAATTAAGGCGAATTCTTGTCTTTTCATGTTTTTGAAAAAACGAAAAATGAAAATGGTGCCGTTTTCTCATGTTTCTCTTTTCAATATTAAATCAAAAAATGAATGAACGCAACATACACGAACCCGCAAAAATAACTGTGCCCATGCTTTTTCAGAGCTAATTCTTCACTGTGCATATTGAGTAAATCCTGACAATACTATTTTAACGCCAAAAGACGGTTTGCTCTGGTGCAAGCTGTAAGTAAATCTGGCCCTTAAAGTGAAGAAGAGCCTTGAAGTGCAAATGTTTAAAATGTAGGATGTTAGTCCCTATGCCTAAAGCCCACTCTATATTAAGGCCGCTGATTAGCATGTTGTTTTACCAACCAATCAGGTAGAGCCTTCATCATGAATATTAATGTTCTTACATTTCAGGGCCATATCATAAGGTGTGTTCACGGTGAAAACACGGATTTGTGATCATTAGTGGAACTGAAAGTGTCAGAATAAACACAACATTGTTGTCATCGAGATACAGCCAGTTTTTAAACAGCTGTATTGTCATCAGAGATTGTATAGCTTCTCTGGAGAAACTGTGCAGAATGAGCCAGCTGACTGCTCACTCATGTTGTATTTTGATGGGATGCGTCACAGTGATGTGGTGTCAGCACAATCCCAAGAGCCCAAATTTCTAACCAGCATCCACTACTTCAAGTCAAATGCCGATCAGTCTGCTCAGTGCTGCATTAAGTCAAACACACATATTGAGACTTGTTGGTGGGCACTTCTGAGTTGGCCAGCCAGAACACTTTACCAACCACCCTGAATACACTGGCAACCACTAGCAACTGCTTAGCAGTGGCTTGGCAATCCCTCAACCTTGCATCATGGCAAAAAGTCATAGCCAGTCTGCAGATTTTGGGAAGTTGACAGATTTAACAGAAAATTGTTTAGTGTATGGGTACAGATTTTTTTTTTTGGCTTTAAACTATGATTCTGTCCAGTTGGAGGATTACAAACATTTTGATTTTTGAGCCAATTTTAGAACACATTGTTTTCATTGTTTCTCACACCAAGGTGCATGAGTTTTGTCTGAGTTTTGTGTGTTTGGAATGACTTGAAAGTCTGTTTTTTCACTCTATTACAGGGGGTCAAGAAACCTTTTGAAGAGGTCATTAAAGCAAACATCGGAGATGCTCACGCTATGGGGCAACGGCCAATCACATTTTTTCGACAGGTACGTGATTCCTCTCCTTTTGCTGACTAAGAGTCTCAATGAATGATCTACTCATTCATTGACGTTTCCAGTCATTTTCAGGTCCACTGCGCTTTCAGCTGTTCCATGCATTAACCAAAGTCAGCAGTTTCTGATGAACCGATTTGTACATAGCCAAGTTTTTTTTTAATTAGTTTTGCTTTGTTTCTATAGATTTTTATGTAGCCTGATAAGCTATTTGTTTTCTCTAGGTGATAGCGTTGTGTACTTATCCACAACTACTTGATGACAACAAGTTTCCAGAAGATGCCAAAAATCGAGCGAGACGTATTTTGCAATCATGTGGAGGAAACAGCATCGGTATGTGATGTGTGTATTATGAGAGTTGGCATGAAATATCAATTGACAACAGTCTCCAATAATTATTTATAATGATCTCCAATTGTCTCCAATAATTTTTTTTATAATTATTACACATGCAGATGATCTCATATAATGTGAAAGACTATGTGAAATATTACATTTAGATAATAATTTTGTTTAAATGTACATGTATATGAAGTCAACACGAAATGACAACCTATTTTATTTCTGTAATGTGATACATTTATGAGAGAAACTGGATATTTATTGAGGAAAAAACATGTTGAGAGGTTCTTGCTTTTATCCAGTGCTCTCTTTTGGAAAGGAAAAATAAGAGGCCTTGGTGATGTCATCTGAAAAGTAAAGTTGTATTGGAATATTGTGCACAGTGCACTGAGGTATAATTTACAGTAAGGCTATGAAATATGTATTAATAAAGTAAATATGGTCAGTTTTCATTTATTGTTGATTTTAAGCGAACTGCAAATTAAAAATAGGGAAAACCCTAAAGGGATAGTTCATTCAAATATGAAAATTGTCTTCAAGTTTAAAAAAAAAAAAGAAGAACAAGAAAAAGTCTCACAGTGTCATTGTTGTTCATACAATAAGAACCTGCAGGATCCAGTTTTTTTTGGACCCCATTGACTTTTAACTGGTTTTATATGGACAAATCTTTTGTGTTGCACAGAATAAGAAAAAAAGTGGTGACCAGTTACAGGACTTATATACATGTTTATATGCACCAAAAGTCTTAATTATAAACTAAACTCTAACTGTACTAATTGTTAACTACTGATGTTACCCAGTGTTCTCCAGTCAAGATGTTACTGATTAAAGTGACAATATTAGTCACTGTCCAAAAGGCCTCTGAGGTTTTTAGGCGCTATAGTTTGTGAGGAAACTATTTTCATATTCAAAATAGTTGTATCCTTCTCTCAGGTGCGTACACAACCAGTCAGGGCATTGACTGTGTGAGGCACGATGTTGCAAGCTACATACAGCGTCGTGACGGTGGTATTCCGTCTGATCCTGATAACATCTACCTCACGACGGGAGCCAGTGACGGCATTGTGGTACGTCAGGCAAACGCAAACACAGTTCTCTGTACACTGAACTTGTATACTCAGAGTCAGCCTGTATGCCAATTAAAGAAACAGTCCACCAGTTTCCTGCTTTGCTATATCCAGTATACTTATTAGTTCTTATTAGTACAGCAAAAAAATTATATATATTTTATTTAGTTTTATGTATTATTCACTTAATTTAATTTAATTTAGTATATCACACTAACGATTGTTACATTAAAAAAAAACAGTCTTACACTGAGCCTTCTAGATGTAAACAGCCATTTAGAAACCACATGACAAGACTCCAAAAACATAAAAATATTGTAGAAATGTAGTCTTGTTTCTTATGGTCTTCTTATTTCTTATTCTCTCGTGTTGTCGTTTAGACCATACTAAAGCTGTTGACCGCTGGGGAGGGTCGTACACGGACGGGGGTCATGATCTCTATTCCTCAGTACCCTCTTTACTCCGCATCTATAGCAGAGCTGGGTGCTGTTCAGATCAATTACTACTTGAATGAGGAGAAGTGCTGGAGTCTAGACATTAGTGAGCTACAGCGCTCTCTACATGCAGCCAGGGAGCATTGCAACCCCCGTGTACTGTGCATCATCAACCCCGGCAACCCCACTGGTGAGCCAATAAGAATTCAAGTTATTTATACAGTAATAATAACTACCTATTCAAACTGATTTTTATTTGGTATAATAACAGTATAATAACAATTAATGATAAAATAATACATTTACAGTTTTTTTTTTCTATATAACAAAGTATTGAGATGAAATTTTGTTATTGACCAAATACTTATTTTCCACCATAATTTGCAAATAAATTCTTTAAAAATCCTACAATGTGATTTTCTGGATTTTCTTTTTCTCATTTTGTCTCTCATAGTTGAGGTATACCTATGATGAAAATTACAGGCCTCTCTCATCTTTTTAAGTGGGAGAACTTGCACAATTGGTGGCTGACTAAATACTTTTTTTTCCCCACTGTAAATATTATGTAAAATATTGTATTATATCTTTATTTTGGTTGTGTTAAGTCATAGTTAAGTCTCTAAGCGCCGTCTGAAATGTTCTTCTAAAATGAGCATTTTTATCAGGCTCCTATATGTATGTTCAGTTGTTTCACTTTAATTGCATAGCAAATGACCTATACATTGCCATTACAGTAAAATGACTGAACATAAACATAGGAGCCTAATAAAAATGCTAATTTTAGATGAACATTTTCTGACGGCGCTTAGAGGATTTAGCATCTGAACTCTTCATATATATAAACAGATGCTACAGTTCAAAGGTTTGGGGTCAGTAAGCTGCTGACAATTTAGCTTTGCAATGACAGAAATAAATGACATTATAATATATTCAAATAGAAAACAGGTGTTTTAATATTTCACAATATTACAGTTTTCACTACATTTTTGTAACCTTGGTGAGCATAAGACTCTTTTTTTGCATGGTATAGTGATCCAAAATATAGTATAAATAACTTTTTGCAAGATTCTTTTCTGAATTATTTCTTTTTGAAACAATTTCTTTCCATTCTGTCTTTTAATAGGTCAGGTACAAAGCAGACAATGTATTGAAGATGTAATCCGATTTGCAGCCAAAGAAAACCTCTTCCTAATGGCTGATGAGGTAAGTTAATACTGGGGGTTTACACCATATTATATCATTTGATGAAATCTGTATTCACATCAAGTGCACCCCTAGCATCAGCATCTACAGGCAGAGAAGGCTTAATATTCATAGAAGGGTTAAAGACGATATTTCCTTAAAAAACACTAAATATTTATCTTACTCTTTCTCTTTTATAGGTATATCAGGATAATGTGTATGCAGAGGGCTGTGAGTTTCACTCCTTCAAGAAAGTGCTGTTTGAGATGGGTCCAGAGTATTCAAGCAAAGTTGAGCTGGCATCATTCCACTCCACCTCTAAGTGCTACATGGGAGAGTGAGTACAGGTCTATCACGCTGTCATTTCAGATAAAAACGCACACACTTGGTATGGAGTGACATCTGGCCCTGCTGTATACAAGTATTTACTCAAGAATCAATGAATTAAACAATACATGGCATGTTGATGGTTTGAGTTCATCCAGTCCATACAATGTATTTGGTTTTCTAAGATTCATAAACAAACACATACTTTCAGATGTGGTTTTCGAGGGGGATACATGGAGGTCATCAACATGGACCCAGAGGTGAAGGCTCAGCTCACCAAGCTGGTCTCAGTGCGTTTGTGCCCACCTGCACCTGGACAAGCCCTCATGGATCTGGTGGTCAACTCCCCTCAGCCTGGAGAACCCTCCTACCAAACCTTCATGAAGGTGCCTTCCTCTGTCAATGTTGCAGAATTCTTACCACAGCAAGCAGACAAACTATCATGGTGGTGTATGACTCGAAAAGTTATTTTCAAAACATTGGGTCTCATTCACAAGGAATTGCATGGATTACTATTACAAAAAACAAAACAAAAAAAATCCATGTAATTCACAACACACACGTGATTTTTTTCTTAACCTTGATTTAAAGTGCCCCTATTATGGGTAATGAAAGGTTCATATTTTGGTTTTGGGAGTCCCCAATAACAGGATGACATGCATGCAAGGTCAAAAAACACTTTAATTGTCTTATAATATGCATTTATTTTTACCTTACTTGCTCAACGACTCCAAAACGATTCGCTCAACGATTCATTTTTCCAAACCCCTCCTTTGCGTGACGCTAATCTGCGGTGATTGGTCCAATTGGCCTCATTTTCATTTCATCATGACTGTAATGCCTGATAAAGCAGCGTTTGTGAGCGCAGTGCTGCTCAGCGTTACCGGGGAAACCGCTATTTTTACCGCTCCTAAAGCAGCACCTAGTGGCACAGAATGAATTTGCATTTTCAATCAAACCAATGCGAAAAGACCAACAAGTGGGCGGGCAATATGCTAATGTTTCATGTTGACGTCAACATGAAACGGCTTGGGATTCGTTTTAAAAACGACTCGTTTCAATGATTCAGAGTCGACTCTTTCTTTTGAGAGACGATAAGTTTATACACAGGGCCACTTTCAGTTTTAAAACTTTGCAGGATGTTTTCATTCACTTAGAGCTGTGTTACACACTGCATGAAAGGTAATTATCAAAAGTCCATAATAGGGGCACTTTAATGTTAATGAATTTGGGGTATTTCAAATTAGCAACTGCATACCTGAGGTTACACATTTGAATAAATCAAGCCAAAACTATATATATATATATACACACACACACACTATGGTCAAAATCTTATGTACGCCAAACATGTGAATGGTAGTCTATCACAGTTTTCACAAAGATAATAAGCAGCACAAGTGTTTTCAACATTAATAATCATTAGAATTGTTTCTTTAGCACTAAATAAGCATACATTTTTGCATATTCACATGTATGTTTTTATATTTCAACTGCTTTCGTGAATATAATGACAGTCAATTGGGTCCAAATTCTCATTGATGTATTATATGAAAAAAAAAAAACAGACATTTTGCTAACCATCTTTATTTTGTGTTCTGCTGAAGAAATTAAAATAATTAAGGTTTGGAATGATAAGAGTAGAGTATGAACTATGAGTTTGAATGATATGATATGAGTAGACGATGACAGAATTTTCATTTTTAAGCGATCTATCACTGTAAATGTGAAAATAATGATGGTCAGTTGCTCGGTTCCTTTGTCTGTATTCAGTTAAGAACGTAGATATAGTTTTCAACTGCTGTACAGTGTTTCTTCTGTTTCTGCAAGAAAGGCTGGGTGTTTTGCTCCCAATTAGCTGTGTATAATCCAATTAACCGCATTGGCTAGTATCCCAGTCTTCTTCCTTTTTTCAGTCCTCTTCCTCTGTCTCGTGTAGGAACGAACAGCCGTTCTAAGTGCCTTGGCTGAAAAAGCCAAACTGACTGAGGAGATTCTGAATACAGTGCCAGGCATCAGCTGTAACCCTGTGCAGGGAGCCATGTACTCTTTTCCCCGTATCACCCTACCTGAGCGCGCCATCAACGAAGCCAAGGTCGGTTTGTGTCACGTGTTCTTTATGTCTCTGCTTGGTCTGATTTAGTTGCGTCATGGCTTGTTGTGTGTGTGTGAATACAGGCGAAGGGTCAGGCTCCAGACATGTTCTACTGCATGAAACTTCTGGAGGAGAGTGGGATCTGTCTCGTTCCAGGCAGTGGTTTTGGTCAACGAGAAGGCACTTATCACTTCAGGTGTGTGTGTCCTCAAGAGTTTTGAACTTGCTTCTCATGGTTTTGTTGACACACAATATATGGATAGCTGACATGAAATATCAAGCAGTGACATCAGTGTCCTGCAGTGCTATATTTAATCTAAAACTGTTTTAAGCTACATTTTCTAGTTCTTGTGATGAAACTGAAGTCACGATAGATCTTTTCTCCTGTATTGTGACAGATCTGTGTGAAATGGATCATCACAAAAGAAAAAAAATAGGTTTTATCCTTTGCTTGTTGATTGGATTGAGACTGAGAGGTTTCACTGGACGAGTTGTCAAAAGAAAAAAAAGTAAAAATTAAACATACACAATTATACCTATAACATGCATTAAAAAATAGATAGGGTGAATTTTCATTTCATGCCGACTTTATTATACATGCTATTAGGCTCTTATTAATTGAGAAATTGTAGTGCATGAAATATTGGGCTAAAAAAAAAATAGTAGATTAATTAATAGAAAAGTAAATGAAATTTATGTATATATGCATACTTGCTTTTTATAAGCAAATAATTATTTTGCAAATAGTCCAAACATCTCAATTAACATATTGGAAATTATTAGAGTTGTGAGGCTATATGCAATATTTGCTAAAAAGGTAGGGGGCATGGTGATGGAAAAAATATGAGATGAAGACAAAAAAAAAAATCAGTTTTCTTTGTTTCACCAGGATGACCATCCTTCCTCCGACAGACAAGCTCAAGATTATGCTCAACAAACTGAAGGAATTCCATCAGAAATTCACCCAGCAGTATTCTTGACCCAGTTCAACTCGACCAATCACAGCCCTTCTACCACAACTGAAAATTTTCACTTAATGTTTGGTCAGAATATGGCCAAATAATCACTTGAGCCTTGCTGGACACTAATCTGCACCTTTGCCACTGGATAATTGTATGCCTTGTAGTTAAAGATAAATGGAAATACCATAAAACTATACACTTGTTAGTACTCTTTTAACATGCAGTGGGTAGAAATAGCAAGACTTGATTTCTGATTTCACAAGATTTTAACAAAATTATGATTTTTTTTAAAAAACAGAACAATTCTAGAACGTCCAGATCTTCTTGATGTGGTATGGTATATGATTCATTTTAGTGTGGTGCGTGAATAGTAAAATGAAAATAATGGGCATTGTGCTTTATGGCCGTTGAAATTCTAAATGCATTCATGAATCAATGTATGCTACAACATTGCTGTATGTGTAAATAACAAATGGATTATATGGCAGATATAATACAATATGCCGTGTGCTGTTTTAAGGGGTAGACACATTTTTTCTTATGCAAACTCCTCACCACTAGAGGACACACCACCACAGAATTCACACTTGATCATGTTTTGAATTGAAGCCTTGTTTTGTAACACCCCTGTCTCTCTCCCACACACAAAGACACACTACTGAGAGGCCCAACTGCTTCATTCTTTGATGGTGTCATTTTGTTAATGAGTTAAGAGACATAATGGGATGAGATGAACTTTGAGAACTTCACATCTCAGAACTTTTAAAAGCTAATTGTCTCTCGTCAGCGGTCTGAAAGAAATGCTCTGATTTGAACTGCAACACTGACATTCCACAGCCATTTTAATCCAATGTTTCCACACAAAAATTAATGTTTGATATATATGCTATGATATGATATATGATATATACATACACTACCAGTAAAAGTCTGGAATAATTAAGATTTTTTTAAAATATTTTTAAAAGTCACTTATGCTCACCAAAGCTGAATTTGTTAAAAAAGTGAAATATTACAATTTTAAAAAGCTGTTTCTATTTGAATATATTTAATGTAATTGTTTGCTGTGATGGCAGCAGGCATTACTTTCGTGTTCAGTATTGCATGATCTTTCAGATATATTTCTAATAAGCCAATTTGTTGCTCAAGAAATATTTCTTCTTATTATATATAGTACCATTTAAATGTTTGGGGTATAGGATAAAAAATGTATACTTTTATTTAGGAAGGGTGCATTAAATTGATCAAAGTCTCATTAAAGTCAGTAAAACTTTTAAAACATTTTAAAAATGCTGTTCCTCTGAACTTTCGATTCATTAAAGAATCCTGAAAAAAAAGTAGATCACGTGACACTGAAGATGACAATGTCAGCTTTGCGTTCACAGGAATACATTACATTTTTAAATAAACTGAAATACAGAAAACCTATTTAGAATTGCAATAAAATGTATCAATATTACTGTTTTAAATGTATTTTTTATCACATAACTGATTTCACAAGATTTTAACAAAATTATGATTTTTTTTAAAAAACAGAACAATTCTAGAACGTCCAGATCTTCTTGATGTGGTATGGTGTATGATTCATTTTAGTGTGGTGCGTGAATAGTAAAATGAAAATAATGGGCATTGTGCTTTATGGCCGTTGAAATTCTAAATGCATTCATGAATCAATGTATGCTACAACATTGCTGTATGTGTAAATAACAAATGGATTATATGGCAGATATAATACAATATGCCGTGTGCTGTTTTAAGGGGTAGACACATTTTTTCTTATGCAAACTCCTCACCACTAGAGGACACACCACCACAGAATTCACACTTGATCATGTTTTGAATTGAAGCCTTGTTTTGTAACACCCCTGTCTCTCTCCCACACACAAAGACACACTACTGAGAGGCCCAACTGCTTCATTCTTTGATGGTGTCATTTTGTTAATGAGTTAAGAGACATAATGGGATGAGATGAACTTTGAGAACTTCACATCTCAGAACTTTTAAAAGCTAATTGTCTCTCGTCAGCGGTCTGAAAGAAATGCTCTGATTTGAACTGCAACACTGACATTCCACAGCCATTTTAATCCAATGTTTCCACACAAAAATTAATGTTTGATATATATGCTATGATATGATATATGATATATACATACACTACCAGTAAAAGTCTGGAATAATTAAGATTTTTTTAAAATATTTTTAAAAGTCACTTATGCTCACCAAAGCTGAATTTGTTAAAAAAGTGAAATATTACAATTTTAAAAAGCTGTTTCTATTTGAATATATTTAATGTAATTGTTTGCTGTGATGGCAGCAGGCATTACTTTCGTGTTCAGTATTGCATGATCTTTCAGATATATTTCTAATAAGCCAATTTGTTGCTCAAGAAATATTTCTTCTTATTATATATAGTACCATTTAAATGTTTGGGGTATAGGATAAAAAATGTATACTTTTATTTAGGAAGGGTGCATTAAATTGATCAAAGTCTCATTAAAGTCAGTAAAACTTTTAAAACATTTTTAAAATGCTGTTCCTCTGAACTTTCGATTCATTAAAGAATCCTGAAAAAAAGTAGATCACGTGACACTGAAGATGACAATGTCAGCTTTGCGTTCACAGGAATACATTACATTTTTAAATAAACTGAAATACAGAAAACCTATTTAGAATTGCAATAAAATGTATCAATATTACTGTTTTAAATGTATTTTTTATCACATAAATTCGGCCTTGATGAGCATAAGAGACATCTATCAAAAACGTTATAAAACTGCAAATATTCCAAACATTTGACTGGCAGTGTATAAACATAGAGGAATAATTCCAGAAACAATGGGAGTAGAAGACAGACGTGAATTAGAGATGTCGCAATGCTCAACAGAACACAACATTCAGTTCTGTAGGGAAAATCTCATCAGAGACATTGGTAGAACATTGCCTGTGAACATGATGCTGCACAGAAACATTGCCAAGCTATAAGACCTATAATTGGCAATGGCATGTGATATCATTTTATCTAGTCTTCTCTGTGTCCTCAGAAGAATAAAAGCATATTTCAAGATGACAAAAGAGGTTATCCACTAGTAAGTCTATCCAAACTTTAAACAGTCTCTTATACTGTCTCTGACCTCTGTCAGCCCATATTAGCAGTGGTGAGGCAGAGTTGGCTTTTTAATTAGGCAGCATCTTGTTCGTACCACCCGCTGCCTTTGTCTTTGCACCTGATGACAGCCTCTAAATACTGCCTCTGTTTGCTGCTGATAGATCTTGATGTGCTTGTCTTAACAGGGAGTGACAGCAACAGCAGAGGCAGAGATCTAATCTGCCAGCTGCACAAAGACAAATGTGGCATGAGACAATCAGGCTTACAGAATGTTTTGCACATGACAACTCTTTAATGAACATGCTTACGTTTGTGTCCTCATACATTTCTTACCAAAGCAAAAATATGAAACCACATTGAACTTGATTTGATTAGAATTTTTTTTTCAGAGATACTATATATAAACAATATATTATAACAATTTAGCTTTCTTTTTTAGCCACTGTTCTTCTGAGCTTTCTATTGATCAAAGAATCAATAATATTTCACAGTATTACTGTTTTTGCTGTATTCTGGATCAAATAAATTCAGCCTTGGTAAGCAGAAGAGACTTCTTTTAAAAACATTAAAAAATCGTACTGATTCAAAACGCTTGAATTTGATTGGAGTTCCAAAACCACTAAGAATTTTCACTGTTTGTATCATCTGCTAATCTGTTTGTGTGTCCAGAAAGGCTGTGAGTCTTTGTTCTGTAGTGCATTACAGTGGGATTTTTAGCGACTCTCTCTGCAGGTTAAATTGTTCTGCCAGTAGGTGGCGATAAATAAGACAATCCAGGCGAGATTCTGAAGTGTGCATCCAATGGACACTTTACACAGGAGAGAATGAATGGATGTGAAGTGAGTGACACTTGTAGGTCACATGGCAAAATGGCAAACGAAGTATGTGAGGATTACATTCATATAGTATAGAATGCAGTTTTTTACAGTTGTGAAGTAATACATTGTTCAAAAGGAGTACCTACTCAGAGTATTATATTTTGGACACAGCCAGACTATCAGTCAGCGTACTGTAGTGCATTCCTAGAAATTGTTACGCAATCATAGTTACAATTGAATCAATTGAGTCATTGAATCATTCACCCAAACAATTTGTTCAAAAACGTCTTGGGGTACTTGACTGTAACCCTGTCCCCTGAAAAAGCAGGAACGAGATGCTGCGTTTCAATAACGCATATGAGAACATTCTTTGTTCGGCCGGTTGTGAAGCATATGTGTCAAACATGCCAAGAATTGGTTTAAATAACCTTGGTCGTGAAGTTATTGGATTACTTGCACCTGAGGGGTTATAAATAGACATTAAACAGACATACCTTCAGGTTATACCTTTATCTGAAGAGATGTTCAGGCACGCCTATAGTGCGGCATTGAGGCACAGCATCTTGTTCCTGCTTTTTCAGGGGACAGGGTTACAGTCAAGTAACCTGAGATGTTCCTTATCAAAAGCTACTCTCAATGTTGCATTTTGAGACATCTGAGGACATAACATCTTTTAGTGCAGGGAGCCCTAGCACTTAGTATAGTATGTACTATATCAGCTGGAAGCCCAGCATCTCTTAGTTGGTCCCCTCTCAGGGGCCAGACATTAAGGTTCTAGAGCTGGGGTCGGGGATGAAATACTGTCCCCTTTGCCTGAGATAGCAGATCTCTTCTGACTGGAATGGCCCACGGCGAGCCATCGAGGAGGGATATTAGATCTGAGAACCACACTTTGGTCAGCCAACTGGGCACTATCAGTAAGACGCGAGACCCTGTGATGTTTCCTGTGAAGCAAAGAGCTCCACCTTAAAATCTTTCCCAAATCTGACTAATTCGGGCGGAGTTTCCATTCCCCTTGTGTCACAGCTTGTCTGGATACCAAGTCATCTCCCACATTTATATGCCCTAGGGCTGCACGATAAATCAAAATCACAATCGTGATTAGGCAAAAGCTGTGATTGTCATGCGCATCTTGTCAGTGAAGCACGGTTCAGTGATCAGTAGTAAATCTCCATCTGAACGCCAGAGGGCGCTCTCACATGGAAACTCCAAATACGCCCCGCAGAAGAAATCCAAGAATAAACAGATGATTTAATTGCTTTCATTGATTCAACATGACTAATAAACACAGGACTACGACAATATATGGTTTATCTGAGTTCTTATTATAATTATTATTATAATATTCATTATAATAAAGTA